TTTTTTCTGCTACACCCGGCTACGCCAAGTACATCCCGCTGCAGCCTGTGGGAAGGCGGGGCTTGACGTCAATCTATCCATCAAATTTCTGACCTGCTTAATCCCTTATGGGGTCACGGGGGTTGCTCGTGCCTATCTCCAGCGTTGATTAAGAAAAGCAATATAACCAAATACTTGCTGGTGCTGAAGTTCAAATAATAATATAATATGAGTAGACCCGGCATTGGCTGTCGCGGCGCAGGAATTACGGCCGCCATATTGGGGCGGTCGACCTGCTACTCAAACCTGCTGATTCAAGCTGAACACACTAATGATGCCTCAGCACTGTGCGGCGTATTTTTGTTTAAATTTACGGACTATTGACGTCAGGGCTCGAGGGATAACTTTTTACAATTAAGATGAAAACATATCTTTACATATATTTTTATATATATCTTCTTATATGTCTATGTGCTTCCCTGCCCTGTTACGTCAGCATTTCCAATATGGCTGTCCTTGATGTGGGCAGGGCTTGATGTGAAGCCCCGCCTTCCCGCAGGCTGCAGCAGGATGCTTCTCGTCTACGCTGCTTCGCTTCTTCTTCTTCTTGTTTACTACTGGTGGTTGGCTTTGGTCGCAGTACCGCCACCTTCTTCTCTGGAGTGTAAACGCTTTGCCTATGAGAAAAAGGAGCAGCGCATGAACCGAACGAAACACACGCGAACCGGACCGAGACAGTCGAACTGAACGGTTCGGACGGTTTTCATAAGCCATTTCATCCCTAGTGTATATATATATATATATATGTATATGTATATGTATCTATGCTTAGTCGAAAAGGGGGTAGCACTGCTGCAGCAGCAAGAAGGTTGTTGGTTCGATTCCTGGCCCAGGGTCTTTCTGCATGGAGTTTGCATGTTACTCTGGCTTCCACCCACAGTCCAAAAACATGATTGTTAGGTTAAACGGCTTCTCTAAATTCTCCTTAGGTGTGAGTGTATGCGTGAATGGTTGTCCTTTTTGTCTCTGTGTTGCCCTGCGATGACTGGCGACTTGTCCAGGGTGTATCCCACCTCTTGCCTGTAGACAGCTGGAGATAGGCACCAGCAGAAAATGGATGGGTATATGTGTACATATATATATGTTTAATACATAAAGTTGGCCTTGGCGTGCACATCTGGTGTTGCTCACAGTGGTCTTCAGTGTACTTTAGGGGCTTGTGTGTATTCCCAGTCTCAGACATAATTAATCAGAGGGAGGATTGGTTGCAACAAAACTCATGAGCATGACTACTTTTATCTGTTTCCATCTCTATATTTCCCCAAGGGTTACCTAGGTCCTTGATAAGTGACAGAGCCTCCCAGGATATCATGGCTCCACCTCCATCATCCATGGCGCCTTGGCCCACATCCCAGCTGTCAAGATGACCACTCAATAGGACAACCTGTCAGAGTGTGTAGATAAACAGCGTCAACATCAACAGGAGCCACTGCAGCAGTTTCAACTATGCACATTTCGGGTGACTTCACAGAGGAAGAAAACACTACCTAATACTTATTATGTCCATTTGTCATTATGGCTACATCTTATATTTAAAACAAACAACATCCCGTTGACTGTCACCTACCATTCTAAGGATGTATGTGGTGCCTCCATGTATGGCAGGCTTGACCCTCCCAAGGGATAAACAACAGCAGCGGATTTAAGTCAGTAATGCTTTTTCAGGTGTTTTAAAATGGTTTTTGGTTATTTTTGTGTGGCCAGTTAACAGGATATACTCTTCACATTTTATTCACTATTTGTTTCCTAAACTGAGATTTTAATCAGAACGAAGAGAAGACAATCCCCCAAATAAGATCCCAATGGTAGAGGAGCATAATTGCAAATGTTATTATCTCCTTCAGGAATCTGAAAGTGAGACAGAACCTCCTGTCAGATGGCTGATCCTAACCTTATGCTGCAGGTTACAAAAAGCAGATGCTGACCTGACTATCTGCTATCTGGACAACAATTCAGAAGTCAAAACATTTCTTTTAAAAAGAAACTTTCTGAGTCTTTGCTTTGCTGCTAGAATTGCAGAGGGAAAAAAAAGGGCAAGAAGTGCCAGAGGTTTATGGTTGTCTGCAGCTCTTCGGTCAGCTATGGACTATTCATTTGTGGCAGAGATGTTCTTACAGCAATTAACTGAGAAAACTCGGGCATTCAGATCTGTGGTTTCCTTTTTTACAACACCCTATGAGCAGACTTTTGTAAAAACACAGTACTTTATCTCCCATCTTTATCTTTATTTTTAAGCTCAATCTACTAATCTTGCTTTTAAATCAGTTGCCTTCAGTCAAGCTGAGTGAGTGTTCTTTCACACAAAGTTATAGAGCCACAATCTGAGAGATGTTGACTGTACTTTTAGCTTTTCTAAATATGTTTTTTTTTTTTTACTTGAGTCTGAGGCACAAATGATGGTATGTATTATAACTTCCCTCCTTTGGGCTAAATATGTACCCTCAGCTTTTTTTATGACCAAATAACATGCTGGGAGAAACAGGCTTTTCCCTCTTATTTATGCTTTGACAGCTTAAATGTTAACTTCCTTATTTTAAGCAGGATTCATACTAAGTGCAAAGTGCTTTAATCAGTTAAACCCTCACGAGTAACACTGATTATGTGGGGGGGTCTTTCAACTGTGTCTGATCTCTAACATCATGCTATAGACAATCCCTGCAATGCAAAGCACTCTGGGGAAAACAAGAAGTAACAATATCTGCCAGGAAGCTGAAACAATTTACACTTTAGAAATAACTCTTTCAGTCACTTCACTTGTCGGCACATTACTTCCTCAGGTAGGGCATCTGGCTGTGCTTCTCACACATTGTTTACTGTCTCATTGGACAAGGTTAAGCACAAATCATATTTGTGAGCTCAGTGTTTTAGATGGATTGTTTTAGCATTGATGCTCAGCTTGCATAAAGTCGAAACGTCACCAACTTTCACTTGTGTTGGTGGCTTCGCTAAGCTTTCTTACTGTCTTGTAGATCCACCAACACAGATATTGTTATGTATAGAAATAAAGATAGGAACATACATAAGTTCCTAGATTTAGAGCTGTTCAAAAGACTTGGAGTTAATCGTAACAGAGCGGTTTCAGCAGACTCAGGGCCTCACATCTGTGACAGATAAAGGACCAGAGAGTACAGAGTTTGAAGAGGCAATCAAAGCAAACTGAGATCTAGGACATTTAAAAGACTACGTTTCTTGTTTTCAAGCCACCAAAAAAAGGCACAAAAAGAGGAAAAAAAAACCTTTACTAAACAAAACATACAGAGAATTAAGGAAAACATCTGTACTCTTCACACCCTAGAAGATTTTTGTCCAACTATGCCAACTTTCCCCAACTAGATAAGTTTGGTGCAGGCTCAGTCCAACTGTGAAACCTGGCTAACGTTTAGCAGCATGTCTGAAGCCAAGCATGAGCTGCAAGCCTTAATTTAGTTGAAGGAGGAAAAAGGTTGTAAAAATGATGAAATACGTGCTTATTAGCAGTTAAACAATTGAGTGCAGAAATCCTAAACAGCTAACAATTCAGAGAGATAAAACATTAAATGTCTGCAGCCTTTAGTGTAAACTTTGCAGATTGTTTACATGCACAATAAGCTGCACACATTGCTAAAGGGGGATAAACAACTAAAACTTCATTTCAAAGAAAAATGGAAAAGGCGGACACTGAGGGGGTGGAAAATTTTTTTTAACACATCAGCAGTCTAGGAGGAATTAAAAGGGCAACCTAAATCTGGATATGACTCACAAAACCTCAAATGTACATTTTTCTTTAAGCAAGTCCTCTCTTTTTTTTTCTCTCTTTTCGTGCACACACAGCCAAACACACACACACACACACACACAGTCCAGCCACAACTGCTGCTACAGCGAGCTGGAACACAAAGTTTCAGGGCCAGACATGATGTCAGCCCGACCATGTGTTTCAGTTCCCTTTCCTACCAAGATGGACTTAATGTTGGCTCAAGAACGACAACAGCTCTAATATACAAGACATCTCTTAAGCAAAGCATTTTTATGTCTTTTATTTCAAGCAGTTAATTTTAATCTGACTGGGGAAGAGAAATTGGAAGTGCTTTCGTTTTAAATATGTTAAAAATGTATGAAGTGGGGCCTGATGAGGACGGTATGATGAGACCGATCTTATGATCGGCTTGTTGGAACGTCTCTTCCAGGGATAATTTGCAGCTGTTTTGAATACTTACCATTTGCTGATTCTTGTTGAAGAATAGGCGACACTTATGGGGGAAATTCCTGTTCAGTGTTTTCCAGATTGATAAATATCAGCCGTTGTTTATCTAATTAGTCTTTCCTTCTTTACAAAAGAACCAGAAAACCGGCCCGGCTTGTGATTCAGAGCAAGGGATCACGCATGTTCAACAAGACAATCAGGTTTAATTAGAAAAACTGGTTGCCTACAGTATTATTCTCTAAATGCAAACTGAAAGAGAAAGCGGTTATTCAGTTTAACACGAATAATATTTTGCTTAGGTTTGCAGAGGTCTGAACTTTTAAAAGTATCATATTCTAGATATGATTGGCTTTAAGCCCCTCAGCCATTTTTGTTAGGAATGAAAAGCAGCATCAGCATCACCCCTGCATCCATAACTCTCTCGCAATTAGTTTATTTGCCTGAATTAATGTATGTCTGTATAATATGGATACTTAAAAAAAAACATTTAAAAAATCATGTATGGAAATACACCACTGCTAAAAAAATATAAAGGAATTTTAAATATATAATAATTAAACACTTTTATGAATTTTTTGCTGTTTGTTCTGAAGAGGTGTTTTTAAGACCAAGCCTACTGCACTGTGCCAAGTAGTGCAGGATTTCTATTGCTATCTGACAGAGAAAATCAACTCACTGAATCTGGTAAACCTAAACAACATGTAAACAGTTAATGATTCTGTGAGAAAACTGATGATTTTTTTAAAACTCTTTCAAAAAAATCTGTTTCTAATAATAGCTTTCAATGGTAAGCACGATGCTCTTGCACGATTTAAATGTTTCCCTCTTCAATTATTCACACACAAAACACAATAAAACAGTCCCCAACATAACACAGATCACACAGTAAAAACTTCACACTTGTGACACATCAGGGTCTCATCTAACAAAAAGTCCCTTTATGTCCACTGTTATACTGCAGGGTTGTTGTCATTTGTTAAGGCTAAAACCTACTCACCACTTTTGACATTTAAGGACCTCTTTAGGTTAAGGAACACAAACAAATGATGGTACTTTATGTAAAATGGATGTACCAATTGGTCCTGACATTCAGCATTAAAAATACATAAATATCCCACCACTGTTACCAGGCATTGGTTCCCTAAAACATCAGACTGTTTTTTGGTTTCTGCTTTTTTAAATAAAGCATTTGATATGTTACTCTCATAAATCAGCACTCAGTACTGAGATGTATTCAGATCTTCAGAGGGATTTTTGTCTATTCTAAAAACAGCTATTTTCACAGTAGGATTATGCTTAAAGTATGTTTAAACTTTGGTTTTATTTGCCTCTAGAAAGTTTAAAAAGCCAAAAGAGGTTAAAAAACCACTGATCCTTGTCTTAATTAGGACACTTCAGCACCACATTATTATTACCTTCTAGCAGACTGCCTGAAAATAGTTTCGATTAAAGTAAGAAGTTTGTCTCTGTTTGGAAATGAGACCGCTGTTTATTTAAAAAAAAAAAAAAAGAAAAAGGAGAATTAATTTAGAGAAAAATGTATATTTATTTTTCTATTTTTGATTAAAGTGGCTGGTTGGTTATTCATGCCCTTCTTAAAAACAGTGATATCCTTATTGCCATTTCAGCACTGAACACTTCTTATGACCAGCTGAAACACTTTGTGTGTGTTTTCAAATGCATTTTAATGATGGAGGGCCTCCTTGCCATCACCTTAATCTTTAGTTCTTTCCATGGTTTTTCTAGCAGATTCATGCCCTGGCCCTCGTTGGGTAGCTCCAATATGTCGAGACCTTAAATCTGTCACCTCTATGAATAATTTTCCTCTGCTCCACTGGGGTGGCTCAGCTATAAAGTACACTTCATAGAGCTGAAATACTGACCAGCAGTTTGCACTTAATTCTAATGGCTCTTAACAACAATTTTGTTCAGTCCACCATGTTGCAATAACAATAAATATTCAGTTGTGTTTTTATTTAGATAAAGTCCATCGTGCAACAGGAGGAAAATCCCGTTCTCCTTCTTTTGCAGGGAAAATCTGCTTTGACACTTTAAAGCAACCAGACTCGCTGTGTTGTTTACCTAAAAGCTGCCAGAAAATGGAAATGTAAAAAAAAGTTTCCTGCCAATTTACATTATTTTATAACTTAAACTATACTGCTTATAATATAAGTCTGTGGTATCCGGATTCCCCTAAAGATCAGACACTTTTGCAACTTTAAAATAAAGCTTACCCAAACAGTTTGGGAAATCTTTGGGCAACACAACCTGGAGATGCAAGTCTAATGTGCTAAATCAACTTATTCACTTATTTAACTATAAAAATATTTTCTGGGTTTTGAAGTCACCAAGATAATCTACCAAATAAGCTTTACCTACACACAAATCCTCTAATAAGAAATAAAAACAGTGTGGTTTGAGTCTGATGGTGTACAGAGATAAAGGAGCCATGCAGGTACATGTGAGTGAGTGATAGCTACCTGCTCCGGGTGCTGCCAGCCCCTTATCTCAGCAACGGTGTTAAAAGAGTCAGCATCAGGCAAAGTCTGGGCTCCCATTTCGAGTCTGACTATGATCTTGTGTTTATTCTGAGCCAAACGCCACATCAGCTCAGCGTCCTCCACTGTGATGCAGGCTGTGGGGATTCGCTTCACTCCATCTTGGTAGATCTGCCATCCTGTGTGAGGACTAGAAGGCAATACACGGTGATGTGAATGTATCTGCATTTAGGACAGTCAATAGTTTGTAGAAGGGTTAACTACCTGTTAATAGAGAAAGGAGTTACTGATCTGATGAGTGTGGCCACAGCTCCCACTTTAGCTGCCTCTGAAGCACCGAAAGCGCGATAAGAAACTGTCTCTCCGTAGCTGATAAATGGTTGGTTAAAAACCACAATCCGCCCCGCCGCCTCGCTGGCTCTACGCTTCAGTTCCTCAAAAGACTGAACCACCAACACCTCAGCCTTAATACCTGAACAGATATGAATGGGGGATGAATAATGATGAGGGTGCTGAAGCACAAAGGATCTCAGCTTAATAAATTCTGATCTCTACCTTCTGGAGGTGTTCCTACACTGCTGCCCAGTCCCAGTATAGCCAGGCTCTTGGCCCTGGGTGCAATCATCTCTGCACTCTCCTTCCCTCTTACCCAGTGAGGAATTTTTACTGGTTCTTTTAGAGGAAACAGAGAAAAGAACAAACAATACCATAAACCACAACGTTTTAATTAAAGTTTTTATAAAACATCTTAGTCATTCATTTAAAACTCACCCAGATGAACATCCAGCCCATCCTGACTCAAGGCTTTGTACATGTATTTAATAGCCATTTCCAGGTTCTGTGACCCACTGACCCGGTTCCCTATAGTGTCAGTAAAGTCAGCCAGCCGCTTGTAGGAGCGGTTCTGGGCAGCGCCAAAGACTGCTAGCTCAATGATCTGTTTGGCCACATCAGAGTATCTTCCCACCTCCGCTCTTACATCTGGGGCTGGATTCAAAAACACCATAAGTTGTTCACTCAAAGTGGGTCTTAGTGATAGGAATTTCACTAAAATTACAAAAAGATTTTCTACAATACATAGAACATCAACAACAATGTGGATGTATTCCCAAAGAGACAGAAACTGTTGTTAAATATTCAGGACAGTTAAATGTAATTGGTGAGTAAAGAGGTAGCATAAAGTGACAGGCTCTATAACAGCAGCCCTGACAGTCTGATGGTCCAAAAAATGATACAATCCCAAAAAGAAAAGATTTCATCAACAAGAAGCAACTTTCACAGCACATCTATTGGTAAAAGGCTACTACTAAATTAAGCAGGGCTGAGCTGGGCTAAGTGTAAATTGGGTGTTAGCCAGCTTTGGCTTTATTGGGTCATAAATAGGATGATAATTTCAAACATAGGAGAAAATCTAAAAAATGGCTTTATAGGAATCAAATCAAAATTTTGCAGTGGGCCAAAACCTGATTGATGCAATAAAAAGGGATCTGAAATAGATCAGAAAACAATTGGATGCAAACTTTTATGAAACCGACAACTTAATGCAGTAGGTTGTTGTTTTAGAAACTGCTTAATGATAGGGTGCGAGTACTGATAAATGCCACGCTACATGTATCAGCATATATTGCATTATTGGGTTAGAGCAGTACGCTTCTTCTCTGAGAAGGTTGCAAGTAGCCGGTTCAATCCTGACAGCCTCCACTCTGGCTCCCTGAGCAGAACCCTTAACTCCACACTGCTCCCCGGGCGCCACACAAGGGGAAGGGTTAAAATGCAGAGGACAGATTTCTCCATTGTGGGACAATAGGGGATTTAAATTAACATTACAATGCATCATGGACAAAACTTTGATTCCAAAAGTTGAGGGTACGCAAGTATTTTTTAATATAACTAACTGGGGGTGTAAATCACACCCATTATGGTGATTCGATTCAGTATCAATTTCCTGACCCAACGATGCGATTATTTTCGATACTCAAGAATGATTCGATTTGATTAATTGGAAATGTTTTTGTTTTACCCTACAGGCTAGACAATGTTTCAAATTTGAAATAAATCAATGAAAGCTGTAATATCATTATGCATTTTATTTGAGAAACAACAGCCAATAACAGAAGTAGCAAAGTTGTACACCACCTAGGCCAATGAAAACCTAATTCACTGAAAAATAATAATGCCTCTGTGTTATTGATTCTGATTCTGCCTTGCATCAAAAAATACTGCAAGTGGAACGAGAGTAGTGGCTAAAGGAATTGAGGTAGGAGGGCAAAATCGGTTTAGCCTCACCGCAGCGCGGGAGTCAGAATTACGTCCAGGAGCAAATGGATCAAAACAGACCGGAAGAATGAAAAGCATGAATCGATACTCTTGCAGACGTGTCAATGCATCGGATCGTCGGCTGTTGGATCGATACAAAACGATTATTAGTTACACCCCTATAACTAACTTCAGCGTGTCGACAGCCAATCAGAAGGATGGTGGTCCAATCAGGAGTTTGTGGGCGGTCCAAACTGATGGAAACGGGATTCAGCTTAAGCTGAGGTCTCCCAGTTGGTCCTAGTGCTCGACAAATGTCTGCGTACTGTAGCAAAACATTGTTTTTGGATAGTAAAACCTGCAGGGGACCAAAACACGTGTTTGAAAAAGTCCC